GGAGCCTGTGCCAGCTGCAAAGCTAACATCTAAAGCACCGAACCCGTAAAGGGAAACGCACACGACTCCTCTGTGTGCGACACCTGGCTTTGCTCGGGGGCGGTGGCTGAGCCCCCTGCGCGGCGCTGCCCTTGCCCCTTGTCCCGGGGACGCTTGTGTAACGCCGGGATCTGGTTACTGCCCGCTGCGGTGCCCGGGCTGCTGGGCTCAGCTGCCGCCCCGCTGCTGGAGCCCTGCGCTGCTGCTCCGGTGAGAGCCGAGCAGGTACTGCAGCGCTTCCCATCTGAAATAATGCAGTTTGATCTCCAAGGAGCCCTCCCTTGGAAGGGGAACAGGAGATAACGGAGATGGAAGAGCTGAACTGAGAGCAGCTGTGTGCTGTTGGGGGTTTCTAGCGGGTTGTCCATCTGCTGCCATCTCCCCTCTGCAAAGGGTTAACTCTGGATTGTGCTCTGGATTACTGCGGTTGCAAAATCTGCTTCTGAAGCCAGTGGGAGGGCACAGTGGCCCCAGGCTGGTACCCTCAGCTGGGGTGGGATGGGGGCAGCTCACCCTTGCTGAACCTCAGGGAAACACGAGGTGCTTTTCCCATTCCAGCCTCCTCGCTGCAAGCCAAGCAATATAAATCTTTCTGCCCTGGATACTGGAGCTAAATTAGGGACCTGGGCAGTGTTACCACACACACCCAAATATGTTTGATGCAGAGTTCCCGTGACCAGAGCAATGCCAGGATATCACCCGCCGGTGGTTTCACTGCTGACTGTGGCCGAGGAGCGGAGGAGGGAGCGGGAGGGAAAGTTGTCGGCTGCGGGAGCTGTCGGCTGCCGCCTGAAGAGGAGAAATTGGTGGAAGCGCTGCCTTCGCCCTGCCTGGACCAGGAGCAAACGGTGTTTTCCCACCCCTGCATTGTGCTCGGCACGTCCCCAGCTACGCGGGGTGCGGGGAGCCGGTGCTTTGTGCCGAGGGCAGGATGGAAGCTGTGTGGGTGCGACGGGTGACACTGAGCCCGTGGGTTGCTTCTACCATGGTTTGGGCATCGCCGTGTCCCTCCTGCATCCCCCTGCAGTGGTAATGGCCTTCCCCACGCAGCCTCATTGCATCTGGCCTTCGGCTCCCCATCGCGCTGCTGTCTCCCGCCACCGGGAGCATTTCCTTAATAAACCAAATCATTCTCTTTAACGAGGCTTAATCTGCTCCTCTCCCAGCCGGGCGAGCGGCCTCTCCATCGCCTCGCCATCCCGCGGCTGGCAGGGGAGCGGAGGGAGGCTGGGTGGGGGAGCGGAGGGAGGCGGGCTGGCGGTGCAGCTGAACTGCAGCCAGGGCGTTTGGAGAGTGCTGGGCTAGCTGTTTGCTCGCCTGCGGGTACCTGAGCACAAAAGCAGACGTCAGGGCTGTGCTGGTACAGGTAATGGAGGCTGCTGCCTCCTAGTTCATTAGAAGTACAATTAAGCTCCTTTAAAAGCGCTCTGAGTGACCTCTGAAAATTGGATACATATTTCTGTACATCTCCTGTTTGTCTTGTGCAGAATGATGTTAACCGTCTGCTTCCTGCTGTTCAATTTTCCCAGCACGTAATTACAAATTGTTTTTTTTTTTTTTCTCTTCAGCTTCCTGGCTCCCTGCACCAGGCTCTTCGGAGCGGAGCTGCAAATAACCAAGCTTTTCTCCAGGCCCCTTCCCTGCCTGCGTGGCTGCTGGGGGGGCTGGTGCTGCGCTTGCTTACAGCTTCGGCAGGATCTGGTTTTTAGGGTAATTAAAGCAATAGAGGAGCAAGGAGGGGCTGTCCAGCCTCCTGCCCTGCCTTCCTTTCTCCCTGCGGCTGTTGATGCAAACGATGTCAAACGGTTGTGCGAAGGGTTGCTTGGCCACGTTGGTCTCCGCTGAACTTCCAGATGGTTTCATGCCAGAAGCCACCCCGCGCCCCGTCCACCGGCGTGGGTCTCCTCCGCCTCGGGAAGCGGGAGAGCTGAGAAGATGGGAGAGGTGTGACGGAACGCCCAAGTTTCGGGGTTACCGGTGGGTGGCCGAAAGGCGCATCCTATTCGTCCCTTTCCCCGTGGCAAAGCGCAAACGCTGTCGCAGGCAGGAATGAAGGTTGGCGTTACTATTCCAGGGAC